AAAGAGAGATTCCTTAATAAATATGAAGACCAATAGAAAATGTAAACAATAAATAATTATAAAATATATATTTAAAAAATAATAAAAACCATTATAAAATTTAATTTATCATAAAGGGAAATTCTACTAAGAAATGTTCCACTAAAAGGATTAACAATCACTAAAAAGCAATAGTTATAGATATAAAAATTTGAATAGTCATGCTCTGAAACCAGTCATTTTCTTTTGCTTATCACGGTAAAAAAAATAATTAGCACATAAATTAAAATTGTTCAAAATGTATATGAAAAACAAACTTTTTAAAACAGTCCAAAAATAAAATCAGAGGTTCCAATCGCATTCTTTCTCACCGATCCCCGTTAGGGTTTTGCAAAGCTACTCCGGGGTTGCGTTGTTCGGTGCTCACCGTCACCGGCCGTGTGTACTTGACGGAGGGATCCGCTCAATTGCCATACACGGTACACCATTGCAAATCTTCAACGGTCTCGTTTTCTCTATAACAGAAAATCACGGCAACTGTTTACACGGGTACCGAATTTTCTCTCTTAGTTACACGACATTGATGCTGTATTTCGAAATTGAACTCACCGTGATAGATTTTACTGATTCTCGATCATTCTCACCAATGTTTTTTTGCATTTGTATTTTACTTTTAGAACTCAGAATATGGTAGAAGCAGGGGAAGAAGTTATCGAGTTCAAGTGGGGTAATATGAGATCGGTTGGCGGGAGGAAGAAGGATGTGCGCTTTTACGATTCGTTTTTCTACGATGGTGTAGAATACTCGCTCTTCGACTCGGTGTTTCTATACAAGGAAGGCGAACCCGAGCATTACATTGGCAAAATCGTTAAAATATGGGAGACCTCTGATAAGAACAAGAGAGTCAAGGTTCTATGGTATTTTCGTCCTTCTGAGATCGGAAACTTTTTGGAAGGAAATGACGCACTCGAGAACGAGTTGTTTCTGGCATCTGGTGAAGGTGAAGGACTTGCAAACGTCAATCCTCTGGTAATTTGTTTTTCTTAATGTTCGACTAGGGTTATACTTTACTTTTCTGATGTTGTTAAATTGCCTTGTGGAATGTGAATTTCTTCTCTGCTGTCTGTTTGATCGAAGTACGGGGGAAGAGTGACTTGGTAACTGTTTAGTGTCTAATAATTAAGCTTTATTAGCGTCATTATTGGTTCATTGTTTAAGCACGATGGAACAATTTAGAGGGTGTGCTTTAAGTTATTCCATTGTGAACTTCTAGGCCACGTGTGGTTGTTTAATGGTCATGGGAATGAAATGAAATGAAATGAGGTGGAACGAGATGAAGTGAACTGGAATGAAGTTAACATTATATTGTTTAGAACTATTTATATAGAAATGAAAGGGAATGGATTTTGTCAAAGGGAGGTTGTTAGGAGTTCTATATTGAGTAGAATAGATTTCTTGATTTGATATTTAAGCCTCAATTTTCATACCTTAGGAACCAGTCTTTTGGGTTGGGTTGTTCTGATTCATGTAAGTCTTGACGATTGATACTTTCATTGAGAACCAAACCTGGAAAAGGTTACTTATAGGCTAGGCTGGATTAAGGTGCAAACCAATGTCACAGGGAAAAGGGCTAGCATGTGTGAGTGTTGACCGATTGAAAACTGCCGTGGACGTCAGTTCTTACAGGTGGAGGTTAAGAGTTTCATATTTAGTAGAAAAATCACTTGATGTGGTATCAAGTCTTGGAGTTCTCCCGGTCTTTTGGGTAGGATTCTCATATGTTTAAGTCTTAACAGAGGCACAGTAATTTATGAGGAGGGAGATTTGTTGCAAATTTATAATCATGTTATGACGTGTGTGTATTTGTTTGCTATTTAAAGGTGNATATATATATATATATATATATATATATATATATAAACAAAAACTAAAATAAAAATAGTGATAATATGTTGTTTTGTTTTAACCATAATTGCATAAACTTTTAGATCCTACTTGGTAGTGTGACAATGAATGTATATAAGGGTTTTGGTTAGGAAATACTTAACACTTATGATTCATCTTTCTTTTCTGGAAACCTACTTGGTGCACTTATTGACAGTCTATCATTGTTAGATGGTGCATGATCAGATATTCGAGGGGTGAATTAAGAGACTAAGAAAATTGCAAAAGGAAGGTGAGTAACCGAGAAAGAACTCTGAAGGAACTCGCCGCATAAGATATACTCACTAGCCGACTTGTATTCAAGTTCCTATCCAAATTCCTTGGATTAACGGGTGAAGATGCCAACATTTAAGGGAGTTCCAAGTAGTATCCTCTACGATCACTACAAAAATAACCAAAAATAGTGATAGATAAAATCTGTTGAAATCAACCATGTTGATAATGAATAATTTCTTACGTTTTATTGATGATATAAATTCGTCGATAATTTCATCATCGGTAACCATTACCAACGAATATTGGTTGTTGGTATTCGTCGATAATTAACGAAGAATATATCTATCGATAAGTGTCAGACAAAGATTAATGTAATTTGTATTTTATCTATCTTACATTCACATAATCATCAAACCTGCACAAAACAATAAATAATCAATACCCAAACAATCATACAATCCGACATATATTGAGATACATCTTTTGTACATAATTCAAATCTATTTTTTCATATATTGATTCAATATAAGCATATAAACTTATGTCTTGATTATGCTGAATATGTTTACAAAACCAATAAGTCATTAACTCATTTTCGATATTTAGTCTTCTAGTCTCGATTGTCGACCTTGGTTGGTAAAGGTACTTGCTAGGACATTCCGACACTTAAGTTAGTATTGTGTCGATAATTTGTTATCGAATAGGTGATATAGTTCAAAGAAACTCAACCCCTTTACATAAGGTGTTTCTTTATTTATGGTATTTCTTTTGGGCTTTTAGCCTTTAGTTGATTAAATAAGGCCCAATCATTAGTTAATATGATTTAGACTTTACTTTGTATTTAATTTTCATTTAGTTATGCTAAGTGTTGATTAGTTTTTTTTACTACTGAAGCGAGAGAATGCATGTGGACATTTGAGAGGTAAAGGATATCTTTATGCTGAGGGGTTGAGATGGGCAAGTAGTGTGGTTGAGAGGGCTCAATATTGATGGAAATGGCCCAGTAGTACATTAAGGATATGTCCATATTGAGAGGTTGAGTAATGTCTCTGAGGTTGTAGCCAAGTGGATGAAGTAGTACATTAACAATATCTTTATATTAAGAGTCCAAGTGGTGGTCAAAGACGAAAGACGAATAATACGTTAAAAGATGGAGTGATAGTTAAGAAGATCAAATAATAGTAAAAAATACCATAAAAAATTAAGTAGTAATCAATAGGGCCGAATGATTCAATTATAATCATAATGTTAAAACTATTAATATTTTTTTAATATTAGTTAATAAACTTGTTTAAATAAAATAACTCATTCAAATAAAAGTACAAATAAAAATTTAAAAAATAATGGTTTAAATCCTCAATTGATTCTCATATTTGTTGAGGAATCTCAAGTGTATCCTCTCGTTGAAAACAGTCTTAATTGAGTCTTAAATTTTGTAAAATCATAACAATTAAGTCATTTCCATTAAGTGGTCAGAAATGATGTTAAAAGATGTTGAGTTGTATTTTTTTTATAGAATGTGTCATTGTGTAGTAAATGTGTTTTATAATGATGATTTCCACATGCACAACAAGCACTAGCAACAGTGCAAGATACATAAGCAATTGAGATAACCGTGGAAACAATTCCAGAAGAAGTAGCCGCTGAGATTCCTGCCACGAAACAACAAGCCTATGAGGTTCCTAATCCAGGATCAACCATCAAAGAGTCAAAGAAGGAAATCACCCGCACAAAGGAGAAGCCCAAAATCGAAGAGACAGGAGGAAAGAGGCGTTGCGTTAGTGCTGGTGACGTTTCCAGCAACTCCAAGCGCCACAAATTGGTTTCACTTCGTGTCGTGACGAGGCAAACAAGCTCGCGTTTTTGGATCTTTGCTTCGTAGAGCTCAAGATGCGAAGATGGAGGTAGTGCGCGATTTGAGGGTTCTTCCTTACGATTAGGATTCATGAATTTGGAGTTTTTTGTGGTGTGATTTTGGGGTCTTTGTATTTCTGTTTTCTCTTTGCAGGTTTCAAATGGTTTGATGGAGAAGAGTGGAGATGATGGCGGGTTATGTTGAGGCGCGAAGAGCTTGAACGCTGGCCATGGTTCTAATTTGCCCTCCCAGTGGTAAGTCAATAAAGATGAAGACACGACCGACGATGGTTGACGGTGTCGTAGATGGGCGCCAATGGGTTGAAATTAGGAAGATTGGGCTGCCATGGATGGAAGGAAGAGCGTCAATGAAGGATGGAAGAGAGCTTCGAGCGACGTGGCGATGGTCACCACCGTCGATCGCTAAAATCTCTCTTTCTCTAAACCCTATTCAGTTCACAAATCCCTAATCTGAAGTGCACAAAATCCTAATTTATTATTTTAACTACAATGATCAATTACATGTTGTATGTCAAAAACTAATATACCATCTTAATTTGATTATTAATTCTACGTAATAAAACCATTAATATTAGCATATTTACTATGTAACATGTCAGCATCTCTTAACATCGTTTCTGCCTCCTCAACAGAAAAGACTTAATTATTATGATTTTACAAAACTTAGGATCAATTGAAACCGTTTTCAAGAAAGAGAGATTCCTTAATAAATATGAAGACCAATAGAAAATGTAAACAATAAATAATTATAAAATATATATTTAAAAAATAATAAAAACCATTATAAAATTTAATTTATCATAAAGGGAAATTCTACTAAGAAATGTTCCACTAAAAGGATTAACAATCACTAAAAAGCAATAGTTATAGATATAAAAATTTGAATAGTCATGCTCTGAAACCAGTCATTTTCTTTTGCTTATCACGGTAAAAAAAATAATTAGCACATAAATTAAAATTGTTCAAAATGTATATGAAAAACAAACTTTTTAAAACAGTCCAAAAATAAAATCAGAGGTTCCAATCGCATTCTTTCTCACCGATCCCCGTTAGGGTTTTGCAAAGCTACTCCGGGGTTGCGTTGTTCGGTGCTCACCGTCACCGGCCGTGTGTACTTGACGGAGGGATCCGCTCAATTGCCATACACGGTACACCATTGCAAATCTTCAACGGTCTCGTTTTCTCTATAACAGAAAATCACGGCAACTGTTTACACGGGTACCGAATTTTCTCTCTTAGTTACACGACATTGATGCTGTATTTCGAAATTGAACTCACCGTGATAGTTTTTACTGATTCTCGATCATTCTCACCAATGTTTTTTTGCATTTGTATTTTACTTTTAGAACTCAGAATATGGTAGAAGCAGGGGAAGAAGTTATCGAGTTCAAGTGGGGTAATATGAGATCGGTTGGCGGGAGGAAGAAGGATGTGCGCTTTTACGATTCGTTTTTCTACGATGGTGTAGAATACTCGCTCTTCGACTCGGTGTTTCTATACAAGGAAGGCGAACCCGAGCATTACATTGGCAAAATCGTTAAAATATGGGAGACCTCTGATAAGAACAAGAGAGTCAAGGTTCTATGGTATTTTCGTCCTTCTGAGATTGGAAACTTTTTGGAAGGAAATGACGCACTCGAGAACGAGTTGTTTCTGGCATCTGGTGAAGGTGAAGGACTTGCAAACGTCAATCCTCTGGTAATTTGTTTTTCTTAATGTTCGACTAGGGTTATACTTTACTTTTCTGATGTTGTTAAATTGCCTTGTGGAATGTGAATTTCTTCTCTGCTGTCTGTTTGATCGAAGTACGGGGGAAGAGTGACTTGGTAACTGTTTAGTGTCTAATAATTAAGCTTTATTAGCGTCATTATTGGTTCATTGTTTAAGCACGATGGAACAATTTAGAGGGTGTGCTTTAAGTTATTCCATTGTGAACTTCTAGGCCACGTGTGGTTGTTTAATGGTCATGGGAATGAAATGAAATGAAATGAGGTGGAACGAGATGAAGTGAACTGGAATGAAGTTAACATTATATTGTTTAGAACTATTTATATAGAAATGAAAGGGAATGGATTTTGTCAAAGGGAGGTTGTTAGGAGTTCTATATTGAGTAGAATAGATTTCTTGATTTGATATTTAAGCCTCAATTTTCATACCTTAGGAACCAGTCTTTTGGGTTGGGTTGTTCTGATTCATGTAAGTCTTGACGATTGATACTTTCATTGAGAATCAAACCTGGAAAAGGTTACTTATAGGCTAGGCTGGATTAAGGTGCAAACCAATGTCACAGGGAAAAGGGCTAGCATGTGTGAGTGTTGACCGATTGAAAACTGCCGTGGACGTCAGTTCTTACAGGTGGAGGTTAAGAGTTTCATATTTAGTAGAAAAATCACTTGATGTGGTATCAAGTCTTGGAGTTCTCCCGGTCTTTTGGGTAGGATTCTCATATGTTTAAGTCTTAACAGAGGCACAGTAATTTATGAGGAGGGAGATTTGTTGCAAATTTATAATCATGTTATGACGTGTGTGTATTTGTTTGCTATTTAAAGGTGGAATCTGTGGTTCATAAATTGTTGTTTGTATAATTTAAATCGAACTACTGCTTCTTTTTAATCTTGAAACCATTGCATGATTTTTTTTTCTTGGTCTGGAGTGGACTGGCAACATCTTAAAAACTTGCTAGATTTTTGTTCATTTCGTATATTGCATCAGGAAGCTATTGCCGGCAAATGCAATATTGTTTGCATTTCTAAGGACAGCAGGAATCCATATCCATCTGATGCAGAAGTTAAAATGGCTGAATTTGTATTCTATCGTTTTTTTGATGTTGGAAAGTGCAAGATATTGGATAAGATAGATGACAAGATTGCTGGAATTGAAGGTATGCCATCCCATCTTTTTTAAAATTATTCTAAAAATTTCCTCAGTTGTAAAATGGAATTACACTTACACCTGTGGGTATTTAGGGGAACCTCATACATCACTATACATGTCCTATACTTAGAATGATCAGCGAAAACATAATTTTGTCCAAAAAAAATTGAGACAAGAAAAGACTACCACATGACACCCTCTTACTCTTACAAATTGAACTTGTACGTATTCTAATATTGACTCTAGTTAATTAGGGGGAATTCTGGAGAAATCTGCAAATATGGAGAAACTTGTAAACTGAACATTTTCCAAACGCATGTTGAACGTTTTTCTTGTTTAATGTGAATTTTTAATTATGGGATATGCTTATTTATTTGTATTTATATATATATATATATATATATATATATATATAATAAATTGAGGCTTCAAATTATTTTGAATGTTTAATCGATAAATTACACTGTTTCTGTTGTGTAGTACTAGAAATTTCATTGATGCTGTTGATCCTAAATAATGTGCAACGAGTCTAATTCTATTTAGTTTTAAATTTTTGAATATATTGTGAATTTGTTTCTCTAATTGTTGCAGTTAAAAATATTTTTAACAATTTAGATAGTCGAAAGCATGTTGGTATTGTGAAACCCGGTTTAGAAAAGAAAGAGGTTAGCGGGAACTTCATGGCATGTAATGAAGCTGTGACTCCTTTGAGTCAAAATAACTGTCAGCCATTGATTGAAAAACCAGATGGCAAGTGTTTTGACGCATTAGCTAGAGAACATGCTGTTTCTAAATCATTGTTGGGAAAAAAACCTACTTTGAGAACTGGTGTAAAGGAAGCAAGTGAACTTAATGATTCTTTGCACCTGGTTTCCAACAACAAGAATGCACCTCAAGATAAAGTTGAAGAAAAGGGAGGTCACAAGGCCTCCTTGGTTAAACAAAAATCATTTTCTAAACTATCACACGGTCCTAGAACTGATTTGAAAATGAGGGAAATGGCTAAAATGGACAATGGGCGTGGAAATGACTCTATTGAGAAGAACATTTCCACATCTAGAGTTAATTTAGGAAATGATCACAAGGATGGTGGTGTTTCGGTTGGACAATTTAATAAGGGAGTAGTGGAGGAGTGGAGGAGGAAATGATGTCCAGAAGGAAAGGGCGGGGAGGTTTATAAGGTGTATAGTTGCAAAGATGAACAATAATGGGAAGAGTCGAAAGCTGATTACTTATGACGATGGATTGACGATAATGGCGATTGATGTGAAAGACGTAGCTCATCTTCATCAAAGGAGAAATATAAGCTACGCGAAGTGGATTCTTTGATGTGGAGAGCTTCCTTCAAGGGTTAAAGATTGACAAGACAACGAAACTCACTGGGTGACAAGTTGTTGCAAGGACCTCTTCAATGATTTCATTGAATGTGAACTCACGAGAGAGAGATTTTGTTTCCAACGGAGGAGTGACCGAAGACCTGATGATGTAAGTTGGGACATCGCAAGCCTTTTTCTTTGTCTTCATAGGTATTGTTCCCTTGGCATTGACCTACGACTGCACAACATACCAAGTGAATGAACAAGATAGTCTTTCAAGTAGAACATGACCAACCTCTACGGGTGGCAATTAGCCCAATTGTGCTTTTAATGCGTGGGTTAGAAACGGATCGATTTGGGACAATACATATTACTTTAGAGCCAATTTATTTAATTGGTAATGCCAAAGGGGTTTGTTGCGTGATTGTAAAATCCCTTTCCATTTTATCCTTCGGGCTTGGTTGCTTCGCGATAAATAACGGATGATGCATTGCTAGGGGTAATTCTATTTATGCACACTGATTAACATGGAAAAATTTCCATATCACACTAAATAGTAGGATTTTAAAGGGATAGCTTCTTAGTGTAAACTAAAAGTTATTTTACCATCAAAACTAATGGCGGATGGCAAAAGAATGCTAAAATTATTTGAAGGTTATAAAAAACATTTATTTATTTGAACTGCCCCTTGTTAACTTAAAGCCAAATCAAGTAATTAAAAAGTTGTTGTGATAATAGACCAAAATTAGTTTGGTTTTGTTTATGGGTTGGGTTTAGATTCCAACTATTGGGTTATCTCATAATGTTTAAATTTATTGATACTTATTTATGGTCGATTATATTTTTGTGATATAGTTGTGGCTATCAATTAACATTTGAAGGTCAAAAACTTATTTTCTTCAATGATTTATGCATGAGGTTACAATTTTAAGATATAGAAAATTTGATTTGCTTGTATCAGTTTATATTAATTTGTAGTTAGTTGAGATTTTTTCTTTTCTTAAATTTCCTTGTTGTTCTTTAAATATAGCAACTGTTTTAATAGAATGTAAGGGGAGGATTACCTAGCCTTATATTATAAGGACTACATTGAACATTACCAATAGCTGAGCTAAATTTAAGCCCCCATAAGAGGTGAATCATGGGTTCACGGTAAAACTCTTAAACTTTTTAATCAGATCCTCGGCATAATAAGATCTCTCATTAATATGTTAAAAGAGGTGTGATTGATATTTTAAGACAATTTTCAACACCCCCTCCATGATGAGGG